TGGATAAAATCCCATCATGGAGTTATGACATGTTACAAATCACACATCAATATGTTGGATTTACAAATTCGTGGGGTCCATGGATTTGGATCCTTAAAATCCGTGAACCCCACAAATTTGATCCTCAAAAAGAATGCAAGCAAACGATGAATTTTATTTAAATCCATGTTGATCCAAATCTGTGGACCCCACAAATTTGGTCCTTATAAAATGAATGCAAGCACACAATTAATTTGATTTAAATCCATATTGAAATGGATATGGTATTCAAATCCATCATCCCAACTCTTGAAGCGTTACCCGTAACCCCTGTTTACCAATCCCCATTAATCTCACCGCCCGATACTCCTCAGTCATGGCCAATCTAATCTCTCAGTTATCAAGCGAATTACCCATATTTATCTTTCTAACTTGTTATTCACATGCATATGCCTTACGAAACAATATGCATAAGCTCAACCGCCAAGTTAATCATTTGATTCCCATTCTCTAATAGAATCATGCCATTAAAGCATTGATCATAGTCAGGGCCTCTTACCTTAACCCATTCACTGCCTCCAGGCTCTTGCTACAGCCTCTAACACCAATACTGTAGTTCCGAGCTTCTTCACCACCATGGTTGTCATGGTGACATGCCACCCGGTTGAATCTGGTTCAACCTGTGTCGGTCATGAAACCGGCATGACACCACCGGTATGACCGGTATGATTGATTTACGTATTCTAAGTAAAATGTCATCATTTTAATGAATTTAATGAATACAAAAATTAATTTATTATTCATTTTATGAATGTAATAGTTAAAAGTTGATGATATTTGTTGGATTGTAACTCAATTGTCCATAAATATGTTTAAATACATTGGATATTAATTGTTTTCACATTTTTTTACACCGGCATGAACCGACACAAATTGGTTATACCACCGGTCATACCATTCCACTTGCCAAACCGGCACAACAGTATAAACCGGTTTGACAATTTTGTTCACCACCATGAAATCATGGGCCGGCCGTAGCGCCTTTGGCACAGAATCCTCCGCCATCTGGGTACTGACCATCGGTTTCTTTCATCTCCTTTCCGGTCCCCCTGATCTCTCTCTTATTTGGTTATCGCCGCCTCGCTTCCTTCCGTGGCCTGTCCAGGCGTCCATCGTTGCTAGTTCCCCAAGTCGTCGCAGCCGCACCCGCAGCCGTGCTACTCCTTGCTGTTAGAAAAAGAATTAATTGTCCCCGGGGGGGTTGGGGCTACTAGAGCTAGGCTTCCCTTTGGGATTCGCTATTGTTTAGTTTATATAATTACGGGAAGGAGGGTAGTTTAGGGATTTTATATATGTTAGGAGGAACCGGGTGTTACATTATTCATTTTTTGACAAAGAGTAGATGTAACATCTTAGGCAAATCTTACATCGATAAAGCACGTGAGAGATCTATGGTTCATAAGTAGGAAACCAACCTTAACAGACAAGACGCGTTTTGTGGTGAAATTGAGGAGTTCTTGTGAGAACTTAGAAGTTAAACGTGCTCGGTGTGGAGTACTACAAGGATGGGTGACCTTATGGGAATTCACATTATTGAATTGCACCCAAGTCGAAAACTGTGAGGGTCGAGACCCAAAGCGAATAATATCTTGCTCGGAAAAAGGTTCGGGATGTTACCCCCCCCCCCCCCCCCCCCCCCCGAAACCGTGAGGGTCGAGACCCAAAGCGGACAATATGTTGCTCGGAAAAAGGTTCGGGATGTTACCCCCCCCCCCTGCGGGACTCAACGCCCTCGTTGAGGTTTGCCCCACCATCATTCAAGAGGGACGCGGAGAGACTCTGATACCTCTTGTAACATCCCAAACCTTTTCCCGACAAGATATTGTCCGCTTTGGGCCTCTACACCCGCACAGATTTCGATTTGGGTCGGCTCGCCTGCTGCTGCTAGCTTGTGCGTTTTCTATTTGGCATTTGAGAAAATCGTTTCCCATTTTCGCTTTCCTTCCCTTCCGTAGTTTCTGGTCGTTATTTCCTGTGAGAACTCTGAAGTTAAACGTGCTCAGTGTGGAGTATAACAAGGATGGGTGACTTTATGGGAAGGCACCTTGAATTTCACCCCAAGCAAAAAACCGTGAGAGTTGAAGCCCAAAGCGGATAGTATCTTGTCGGGAAAAGGTTCGGGATGTTACAGTAGAGAGCAACTTTGCGGAAATTTTTTTTATCAAGGCTAAATGCCTCCATAATCTTTAATTAATCACCGTGAAAATTAAGTAACTGTCCTTTGTCCAAGAAAAATTGACAAAATAAATACGATATGGATAGCAATAGATTCAAGGGATAATTTGGGCAGGATATTGGGTCAAGATTGCGGCCAGCCAGGACGGAGGTAAGGATATTGGGTCAAGATTGCGGCCAGCCAGGACGGAGGTAAGGATATTGGGTCAAGATTGCCACTAAGATTAGTTTATTCCATTCATAGTTAATTAAATTAGTTTCGTAGTTCAAGTTTGGTCACTCACCGTTAGTCTCCGTTAACACCATCAGTTAATTGCTGACTTGACTAACAGAAATATCTAGTCACCCACTTTAAACCCAAAAAAAAAATTAAAAACCCGGCCGCCATGTCATAAAAACCACCACGTCATAAAAACCAAATGTTAACCCATTCCAAAACCGACCTAACCTCTCTTTCTCTCGCCTCTCTCCTCTAGCACTCCTCGCCGTTGACCCTCTCTTACCTAGTGAAGCTCGTCTCCCCTCTTTCTTCTTCTCTGGTGTAGCTGTTCCGCTCTCTCTCGGAAGATCTACAATGGGAAGCTAGCAAAGTGCCTTGCGACGGCTGAACCGCTGGGTGACGGAGCTGAGATTTGGGTTGCCTCTGTCACCACCACCGTCGTCAATCAATCGCCAAGAAAGGGAAGAATGACCCTGCTCTGCTCCCTCTCCGGCTCCCCACGAACCCGACCGCTCTTCTCACCATTGATATCCCTTTTCCGTGGTAGATTTGGGCACAACGACCTCCCGAATCAAGATCCGAGCAGGAACTCAGATATGCTCGGCCGTCAAGCTTCGATTGCGCCAGCTGGTTCGAGATCGAATTAGCCCTCTCCCTCGGCCACCGCCACCGACCGTCCCGCTATTACCAGAGATGTTGAGGAATGCTTTGAGACTGAGGAAGCTGGGGATGAGAGTGAACATTGAAGGTGTGAACCAAGCAAGATCCAATTCAAATGGGGTCTCTCCAAAAAGTAAATTATTGCAGCAAGGGGCGGTCTTGGCTTTGTTGGGAAGGAAGAAGAGGAGATCGGGAGGCGACGGAGGTCTGGGAAGAAGAGAGAGGTAGAGAGATAGAGAAAAATTCATATTTGACTTTGTTGGGCTCTCTCCCGTTTGGTTCATGTGAAAAGGAAGGCTCAGACGAGAGGGGATTCAAAGATGGCGGCTGGTCGGGGTAGCGGAGAGGGGAATCGGGGATGGTGGCGGGTCGGGGGAGAGGAAAGAAAGGTTTGGTTAGTGGTTGGGTCAATTAATGGGTTGAGACGGGTTTTTGACGTGGCGGGTTAGTTTTCATATTTTTAAGTTAAAATTTGGGAGACTCAGCATCTCTGTTAGCCATGTCAGCAAAAAATTGACGGTGTTAACGGAGGCTGACGCAGACTAACGGTCAGTAACCAAATTTGGACTACTAAACTAATTTAAGTGATCATGGATGGAATAAACTAATCTTAGTGGCAAACGTGAAATTTAATAGTAATTCTAATGACCAAACTTGCAATTTACCCTATAATTACAGTCGTTGTTTCTTGTGAGAACTCCGAAGTTAAATGTGCTCAGTGTGGAGTAAAACAAAGATGGGTGACTTTATGGGAAGGCACCTTGAATTTCACCCCAAGTCAAAAACCGTGAGAGTTGAAGCCCAAAGCGGACACTATCTTGTCGGGAAAAGGTTCGGGATGTTATAGTAGAGAGCAACTTTGCGCAAAATTTTTTTTATCAAGGCTAAATGCCTCCATTATCTTTAATTAATCACCGTGAAAATTAATTAACTGTCCTTTGTCCAAGAAAAATTGACAAAATAAATGCGATATGGAGAGCAATAGATTCGAGGGATAATTTGGGCTGGATATTGGGTCAAGATTGCGGCCAGCCAGGACAGAGGTAAGGCGGTGACGTTTGAAAGGCTATTGTCGCTGCTTGGTAATCTTTACACTACTATATAAACGTTCCAGACGAAGAGGAGTCTAGATAATAAAACAGAGGTCTCTGCGCATATCAAAGGAGGCGGGACAAGCTACGGTGCTAATCCTATAGGGGGTTAGCACCGTACTAACTAATATTTAAATGGTTTAATTTTATTTTTTATTAAATGGCTATAATTAAAGAAAGGGTATAATATGAAATAAGAAGAAAATTAAAAAATATGAAATTTATATGATTTATGGAAAGTGAGCGGACTTAATGGGATTTTACGGTTTTTATTTGAAAAAATTATTATTAATCTTTGTTTCTTGGAAAATTAATTAGATTTTCCTTGAAAAGTGGGGCGAAAATTTTGGGATTGCAATATCTGACTGTTACTAATTTTGAATTTGATAGTGAATTTATTTTCCATTTGGGCAGAATTTCGGGATAGATATAGTTTTAAGTTTGAACTTTTAAGAATCACTACTAAACGAACACATAATCACTACTGAACTACCATATAAGAAACACTACGAAAAGCTAAACCATAAGAATCACTACTACAAATTTGCGGAATCAATACTAATGCTACATATGAAAACACTATTATGCCCAAATAATACAAAAACACTACCACTCTAGCTATGAAGTACACTGCTACAACATACAAAAATACCGAACACCACTTGAATATTTCATGCCCAAAAATTACAAAACCCTACGAATCTAGATCTAATATACACTACTATACATAGGTACAATGGCGACCATGCTCACACAATCCTAATTCACGGTAAACACTACTGTCTAATATAAACCAATACTAGTCCTAGTGAAATGTTACCACATCAACAATTCACTCCACCACCATTTTCATCCCCAACAACATACCCTAATCTGGGGCGTCGTCTCCATATCAGATCTACATTTATCCGAACCATTTTCCATGATGAACCCATATCTTATATCCACAACAGATCTACACAAAGTATGTTCGCGCAATACAGAAGGCGGCTTCGGGATTGCGGATTTTACACATGAGAGTCATGGCGGAGCAGATGAGGGATTCGGGATTGCGGCTATGACAAGAGAACAGATCTGAAATACAAAACCCACCCGAACGCCTCCATGACAGAACTTCAACCCACCTTCGATGGACTCCAAACAATAGTTGAGCGCTGTGAAGGCGAGGCCAACGCTGATGAAGACGACTCAAGAGAAGGGAGGCGGAGCGAAGGCGGCAAAGCCAATGCAGACGACGATGCAGGTGAGGAGGCGAGGACCGCTAGGACGATAGGGAAGGTGGAGAAAGCGAGAGTGGAGACGGCAGCGACGGCAAGTTCGTCGACAGTTTTGATGGAATCAGGCTACTAGAGAAGAAAAAAGAAGAAAAAAATGAAATAGGTTGCAGAGAAGGCGGAATCTATAACTTCTCAGCAAAAATAACGCACCCAAGGTTGGGATCCTGTGTTTACCTCCCCAAAATGCCCCTATAACAAAATCACCATTAGATTAATGGAAATACTAAAGAACGAAGATGGGGAGGGTTACTTAAGGGATTAGCATGGTGCCAACCACTCCAATCTTCGTTCCCTTCTCTTCCGCTTAATCCAATTGCTAATATTATGTGGGGCTTTATTGGTATTGACTGTATTTATTTATGACGTAAATGACTTATAATTAATAGGAAATAGATTTTTTCGGGATTAGGGAAATTAGAATCAGATCTCATTCGCCTATTTTCTTTTTTCCGTTTCTTTTCCTACTTCCTAAAAAAACCCACGATTGCCAAAAAAAAATATTCTCCGCCTTGTTAGCTTCTGCAACTTGGAGCGGCTGAAAGAGGCTGGACCTCAAGCAATTTGGAGGAGGAGCAAGGAAACAACGTGCCGGCAACACTACCAATGATAATAAACACTACTACTATTGTAAGAACAAGTCATGTTGTTTGGGGTGAAAGTGGTAGCGGAGGGGATTGTTGATCTAAAATAACTAATACCATTGTAAAATCACTACTATCGTTACTAGCTTATAACCCGGCCCGTAGGCCGGAATGTTCATATTTGATTATTTGTATTTTTATGTTACATTTAAGTCTATCAACCCGTTTAATTTTATTGACAATTCTTCGATCTAGATGATATATAAAGAAAGAATATATAGGTCGAACTTTTGGAGAAATAAGAATATAAAATATAAAAATGATTGATCTCATTTTTATAATGATAATTAAGCCCCAATTATAATGCTATTGGTTAGTTGATTGTCAAGAAAGATAGAGTACAAAAGCTCATTGGAATTCCCACACGCCATAGATAGTTTGAAACACAATTTTAAACCTCACAATCCTACATAAAGGGTTCAATGCACTCCTTAGGAACAATATGCCACTAATAAAAAAGAAATGAAGAGTTGTTGATTCAAGTCAACTATATACTAACAACTCAATTAAGAGGGGACCAATAAAACTTGAGAGCAAACGACAAAATTAGGGTTACCTCCAATATGCTAATAAACTCGATCGAAGTAATAAGACACAAAATTAGACACTCCGTATCTATCAGTTCCAATAGGTTAAATAAAGAATCGACCTAGCTGCAAAAACCATAAACCTAAAGGTCCAATAGTCACCACTCTCTGCTGTAGAACCAAATTTTTATCTCAAGAGACATATGTTTCAATAAAAAATTCAATCTCTAATCCTCCTTCTACAACTCCATTTATTGAACTCCATTCTATTTGTCATGGATTGATATCGGAGTTGAAATCTTCTACTTGCCTAGCTTAAATCCCGAATAATAAAATCGTAGTGCCAAGAGATACCAAAAGATTGATTTCAAAGGCGGCCTTGTATTGAAAAGTGAAAGGGGCGTAAACTATTGCACGATAGAGGGAATTTCAGAGGAAGTTAAAAGAGATAAGAACAAAGATAAAAAAAAGCACTAAATTTAAATTTAAATTGAAAATTTCAAGGATACAACACGCAGTAACATAATTAGTTTCTTCAATGGTAGCCAATTATCAATCTACCTTTAGCAAAAAAATTAAGGCGAGAGCAAAAAATTTAAAATTGAGAAAATTACATGAAACTCTAGCTACTATGAAAACTGAAGTATCAAACACCATAAAAATATATACGGTAGACTTAGTGGGCTTGGTAATCATGATGGAAAATTCATCCAATTTTCAGAGTCTAACTTTGTGTATGCTTTGTACTAAAAAAGATACAACAAATTTGTTTAGTGTAATTGGTTGTGATTGTTGTCTTTGTTTTAAGAGACCCGGGTTCGAATCCTCATATTGATATTTTTATTGAGATAAATATTTAATTGTAAAGACAAAAATGTCCTTCCTACTTTCACTCTCGTTGCAGGATATTTGAAATGGAGAAAAGTTCACAAAACTCTACTATATATTATTGGAGGATAAAATACTACTAAGATCATGATTTACAACTACCATATTAAAAAGGTACTTCTTATTGGAAACACTATTACTATCTCTGAAATGGCTACTACAAAGAATCAACCAAAGAAAAGAAACGGTCATGACATAAACAATGACTATTGAAAACACTACCAATGATAATAAACACTACTACTATCGTAAAACACTACTAATAAGAAAATAACTACTAAGCCATATCATTAAAATATACTATATAATCACTACAATTAAATCAATAATATTAATATTAAATAGCTATCAATTAAATTAGGATTAGTAATTCTATCCCCTAATAACAACCGTCACATCCATTAAATCCGTCCATTATCCCATTAAATTTGCTCATTTTCTTTTTCGACTCATTTTTCGTAAATCACATTAAAATCATATTTTAAAAGTTTCCTCCTGTTTTCCTATTATACCCTAGTTAGCATGGTGCTAACCCTATATGGAGTTAGCACCCTATCTTCTCCCAAAAGGAGGCTAACATTTATATTATTTAGCTCCTCAAATTAGCCAATCTAAACCATACTATTTATGAAGCCCAATAAATAATCAGATATAGAGTGTTCAATTTTTTTTTTCGAGATATAGAGTGTTCAATTTAGACAAGCAAGTTTTTTTTTTGCCATAGATAGAAAGTAGATAGACAGTTGATTACAGAGAATTGAAAAGTAAATACGGTAGTCGACCGATTGTCGAGCTACCGATACAAGGGCTGGTTTTGCCACTAAATGGGCAGCCCTGTTAGTCCTACGGGAAGCAAAAACAAACTGGCTGAACTGGAAGCTGGATTTGAACAGACAAACTTCTTCCAGGATTGCTCCTCCAGTCTCATGCTGCGCTGCATTCTCCGCCACTCGACGAATAACCAATTGGGAATCACCACAATAACGCAGGTTATAAAACCCATGCTGAAGACACCATAACATCGAATCACGGAGGGCAAGTAGCTCAGAGAGGAAGGGATCATTCAAACCTGCGTAGAACTTACCATACGCACATACGAGGGTTGAATCCTCCGCGAAGCCCACGAAGCCTGAGCTGCCGCCAACATCCTTGCGAAAAGCCCCATCAAACCGAATCAAAATACCCCCTGGTGGGCTAAATATAGTAGGAGGCTACCCACCACGCTGCCGGGTCATAGGCTGGCTGGACTGTCTTCCATTGGCGGCGTCTTGCCACTCACTGAGATGACTACGAAACTGGCGGAGCAAGGAAGGCGGCAAATACTGGACGTGGTCATGGACAGACCAGCACCTGGCTTTCCAAACTCGCCAGGAGAGGAATACAATCTCAGAAATATGCACTTTTGAAAGCTGCAAGGAAAAGAAAATACGATGCCAAGCAACATCTGGAGTTAGCACACACACATCCTGACGAATCGCCTCCTGCCCTGCAAGTTCCCAGATTCCACGCGCAATCCTGCAATTAAAGAAGCAGTGTGAGAAAGTTTCAACATCACACAATGTCTTGTGTTTTAGCAAAGTACACAGCGGGAGAACCCCGCGCACAAGTCTCCACAAGAAAATTTTCAATTTTGGAGGTATGGGGAGATTCCACAAGCACTTCCAGAATTTTGAATCCAAGTGTTAAGGGAGTGGAGCAAAGGAAGCCGCGCGATCCTCCGACAACACCTAATAGCCTGACTTGACGCTGTAGACCCCGTTAGAGGAGTAGTGCCAAATAAGTTTGTCTGGCAGAGGAAAAGAGGACAACGGAATGGAGAGGATGCACTTGATGCTGTCTGGATGGAAGAGGCTTCGAATGAGGTCTAAATTCCAGGTTCTTGTCACCAGCTGGATTAGGGAAGCCACATAAGGATTTGAGAGGGATACACCAGGCAGTAACTTCGGGGAGGATGGAGGTGAAGTCGGCAGCCAAGGATCATGAAGTATGTTGATGCCTGATCCGCATCCAACCTGCCACCGGAGTCCTCTCAGTAATAGTTTCCTCCCCTCAAGAATGCCTTGCCAAGCCCACGATGGCCGATTCCCAGCTCTCGCAGCAAGAAACGTGCTGTTGTGATGATACCGAGCTTTATAGATGCGGGCCAGGGGGGACGACGGGTTCTGAACAAGTTTCCACGCTTGCTTAGCTAGCATCGCGATGTTGAAAAGATCAAAATCCTTGAAACCAAGACCGCCATGAAATTTGCTAATACAAATCGACGGCCAAGAGACCCAGTGAATCCCCTTCTCTTTATCTTGCCTTGCCCACCAGAATCTGGATACCTGGCTGTTTAACCGTCGACAGCTCGTGGCCGGCAGCCGGAATGACATCATCGTGTAGACCGGAGTAGCTGAACCCACCACTTTAATTATCACTTCCTTTGCAGCCTGCGAGAGTGCTTTAGTCTTCCAGCTGCGAATACGTTCAGCTAGGGCATCTTCCACAAATTTGAAGGTTAGGACCTTGGAGCGTTGATCTTGCGATGGAAGTCCAAGATACTTGTCGAGAGGCCCTATAGAAGTGATTCCCAACTGCCCGGCCAGCAAAGAGGCTTCATGGTCAGTGACATTGGAGCTAAAATAGACAGAAGACTTGAGGAGATTGACCTTTGACCCACTTGCTTGTTCGTATAGCTGGAGAAGGTTAAGGAGTGAGGAGCATTCCGAGGAAGAAGCACGCAAGAAGAGGTAGGAATCATCAGAAAACAGTAGGTGAGAGATGGTTGGTGCATTCCTATGAACTTTCAGTCCATGGAGCTGATTCGAAGAAAAAGCACCTCCGATCATGGCAGAGAAAGCTTCTGTGTAAATGGCAAAAAGCAAGGGAGACAGGGGGTCACCTTCCTGGATGCCCCGTTGAGGACGAAAATACCCATGCTCTGTTCCATTTAGAATTATAGAGAAGGAAACCATGGTCACACAAGCTTTCAGCCAATTGATTACCTTCACATCAAAGCCCAAAGTCCATCACCGCAAACAAGAAACCCCATTCAACGCGATCGTACGCCTTTTCCATATCGAGTTTCACGGCCATCCACTTGTCTCGGCCCTGAGTTTTTGTCTTGAGAAATTGCATAACCTCTTGAGCAATCAGGATGTTGTCTGTGATGTCCCGA